CCCCATATGGAAGAATTCTCCTGCCAAAGAAGTCAGCAGTTTTTGCGTATGTAGATGACGTTGCGTACGTACGCAGGGGAGTGACGTCATAATGCGTACGCATGCATACAGGGAGAGTATCCCTCATATAGCGTAAATTTTCCCGCCAAATGACTACATGGGTGTGGACATGTTTTTATAGGGGTGCGCACGCGTGCGTACGGAGAGAGTATAAAGGGATGTAATGGTGAAAGAATTTTTTATTATTGAACAAGAAGATGAATTGTTTACATGGGAAACCTGCGGCATATTCTACAACAAGCAATAGAACATTTTGGTTTTGTGGTGAGAATCCATCTTGCAATTTTATTTGTGCGGAGAATGTTACATGTACAAGAAAGCTATAATGGCATGGAGATGTACAGATCAGCCGCATCCGCGATATCGTGAGCATAATAAGTTGGCGAAGATGTGTGTGGTGAAGGACTTGATGAAAGAGAATTTCGGGAGACCATTTTTCGTTTGTGGGGAGAAGGGGAAGCAGTGTTCTTTTTGGACGTGGGGCGTTTGGACGTGGGACAAGAAACATGGCGTACTGTCAAGAGCTTTGTGAAGAGCTCTCTGATCTATCTCAAAGTTATACTATTGATTTAAATGATAAAGAAAGCGGAGATCCTATAAATGAGTCGTTAGCTTCTAAAGGAGCTTTATTATCTATTTCGGCGAAAGGAAGCTTGAAATGGGCTGGTAGTGTTGAAGATCTTAAATGCCTAGTTAACGACCTTCAAATTTCGCCTGCTAAATGGACATTGTCTGGTGGCGATTGTAAGCTGTTTGATAGTAGGGATATAGCTATTCGCTGGTACTCGACGAGGGGTACTTTAACTTTGAAAGGTGAAAAGACCGAGGAAGTCAAAAGCAAACTTGTTCAAATTATCCAGCGTGAAAAAGCGGCGAATATGAGTCAAGATGGCGATAAAAACTTGCACTCTAGCTTGCATAATTTAACAGTGCTCACCGAACCGATGATTAATGAAGCAAGTGAGATAAATGTCTTAAAGCAAACAATGAACGAGTTTATTGAGACAATGGCTGCTAAATTTGAAGTCTTAACATCTGATGTTCACAATTTAAAAACTGAGAAATTTGATTTGTTGGCTGCTGAAATTGATGACTTAAAAAGTAAAGACTCCTATGCTATTGGCGATGAGCTAAAGAGTGAAATTAATAGACTTAAACTCGAAAATACTTGAGAGAAACCTCAATCTGTTATGCACTGTCTCAGATTTGAATACCAAAATTAAGGATTTAGAGAATGACAAAATGAGCCTAATGACAGCCATTAAGTTACTCCAGGTTGATGTTAATGTTCAAGGGGAAACCACAGGATCTTGGACAGAAATCAGAAGTAATAAGAAGGCTGAATCCAAACATCCAACGGACAGTTCGAATGCAAGTAGATCTTCGGTAATCACTGTTGACGATTCGTTCGATGATAAACCTAAAGGCCCCTCGGTGAGAGTTAATACAAACAGGTTTTCCCTTCTTAGCGTGGAAGGAACAGACACCAGTGCCAATGAGGTAAGAAATTCAAATGTGAATGTTATTACGCCAAATACATCCGATGATAGACCCAGAAAGAATGATCAAAGACAAAAGAGCAGGGGTGATGGTTTTCAAGGCAATATATCCGCTGAGAGATCGAGAAAGAATGATCAAAGACAAATGAGCAGGGGTCATGGTTTTCAAGATAATACATCCGATGATAGACCGAGAAAGAACGAACTAAGACAAAAGGATAGAAAAACTGTTATTATCGTGGGCGACTCAATGATTCAACATGTGCATGGTTGGGAAATGTCAAATACAGAAGTCAGCGTTGCCGTTAAGTCGTTTTCTGGTGCTAAAATTGATGACATGAATGATTTTCTGCAACCTATTATACGAAGGTCACCCGATGAAATAATTCTCCATATTGGCACGAACAATATCAAAGGAAATGACTCGCCTGAAGTTCTCGCTGCAGGTATTTCTAGATTAGCATCAATGATAACCAAGAAATCACCTAATACTAAAGTGACTATCTCTGGTTTAATAGTTAGAAAGGGCCTAAATTTAAAATCGAAGATAAAGTCTGTAAACAAGTTGTTGAAATCAACTTGCGTGGCTAATAACTGGCCCTTTATTGATAATTCAAATCTAGATGAAAGCTGTCTAAACCTTAAAGGTTTACACCTAAATCGGAAAGGAACGAGCTATCTTAGCAGTAACTTTTCTAATTATATATGATATTCGATTTGGGCTAGTTGCAATCCAATAAGTATACTTGAGTCTGGCTTTCCTAAAATTAGGGGCTTTAAGGTAGCCATGCTAAACATTGTCAGCCTGCCGAAATATATTGATGAGATTAGAATTCTATTAGCTAAGCAAGATCTTGATATTCTTGCTTTGAATGAGACTAGGCTAGACGATATGTTGTCTGATGATTTGATGTCTGTTCATAATTATGACCCGATTCGTACTGATCGGAATAGGCAAGGTGGTGGTGTTTGCCTATATATTAGAAGTAATTTAAACTATCTTAATCGAAATGATTCAATCCCTGCTACTCTTGAAGCAGTCTGTGTTGAAATTCACAAACCAAACAGTCAACCATTCATTGTTGCTAGTATATATAGATCTCCTAGTGCAAGCTCTCAGTATTTTTCTATGATAGAATCCTTTATTGATAAACTTGATAGTGAAGGTAAAGAAATTATTGTGGTTGGTGACTTAAACTGCAATATGTTAGATTCGTTGAATTCGGCATCCAAAAAACTAAATGACTTTTTGAATGTCTATCAACTTTCCCAATTAATCGTTAAACCTACTCGTGTAACTCAAACCACAAGCTCCTTATTGGATGTCTGTATCTCCTCACTCCCTGAGAAAATTATATATTCGGATGTATTTCCAATCGGAATTAGCGATCACAACTTAATATTTGTTGTTCGCAAAATTAATGTGCAAAAAAGGGTGAGAGCCCATCAGACTGTTGAAATTAGAAATTTTAAACATTTCAATCCCAGCAGATTTCAAGAAGATCTTTTATCTCAGCCATGGGATCTTTTAGACAGTGAGGATGACGTAGACTCTAAATGGTGTTTGTGGAAAACTTTGTTTCTGGCAGTTCTTGATGTGCATGCCCCTCTTAGGATGAAAAGAGTAAGAACCCGAAGTAATATCCCTTGGTTGAATAAAAATTCTAAAAAATTAATGTTTGAAAGGGATAAACTTAAATTGAAGGCAATAAAATCCAATTCCACTTTAGATTGGAATGCATACAAGACGGCCAGAAACGTTGTTTCATGCACTTTACAAAAGGATAAGCAATTATATTATAGTAATTTGCTTTATAAATACAAACACAATCCGAAAGAAAGTTGGCAAACTATAAATCGAATCCTTGGGCGAGGCCATAATAAATCCTCTATATCTAGCATTAGACAAAATGATAACATTATTTCTGGTTCTAATGAAATAGCTGAGACTTTCAATGAATATTTTTCTACTATCGGAGACAAAATTGCAAATTCTGTTGATTCTGGAAATACTCACTTTAGTTCATACATAAGTAAATCATCCACGACTTTTGAGTTTGATACTGTATCTGTTGATAAAGTTTTACATTCATTTCATGCTTTATCCTCCTCTAAGGCAATCGGAGTTGATAAAATTCCAATAAAAGTATTGAAACTTTCTATAGCCATTATAGCGCCATCTATGACTAAATTATTTAATTATGTAATTCAGAATGGGGTCTTTCCTCACGATTGGAAGGTAGCCAAGGTTATACCTCTTCATAAGAAAGGTCCCAAAAATTTGTTGGATAATTATCGCCCAATCTCTATCCTTCCAGCTATCAGCAAGGCCTTTGAAAGTATACTTTATGAGCAATTACATGGCTATTTATCCAATGCTAGCATACTTTCGAAATGTCAATTCGGTTTCAGACGATATCACTCTACAACTACGGCTCTTCTTGATAGCACTAATCAATGGTATTCAAATATGGATAAAGGTTTGCTTAATATTGTTGCTTTTTTAGATCTTAAAAAAGCTTTTGATACCATTGATCATGAAATCTTGATTGAAAAGCTAAATATGTATGGGGTAAAACGGCATTCATTGGGGTTACTTGAATCATACATAACAAATCGGTCACAAAAATGCTTTATAAATGGTACATTATCTCATTCTCAACCGATTAAGTGTGGAATTCCTCAGGGATCGATTTTGGGGCCACTATTCTTTTTAGTGTATATTAACAATCTGCATAATTGGTTAAAATACTGTACACCGAGGATGTTTGCAGATGATACGACGCTCACTGTGTGTGGCAAATCCACACATGAAATTTCGTCTGCTTTGAATCATGATTTAAATGATGTTAACGATTGGCTAATGGCTAATAAGCTTTGTTTGAACCTAGCAAAACGGAATATATGCTAATAGGATCCAGACACAACATCAATAATCTTGTTGATAATCCTTGTATTTCTGTTGATAGTAAACTTTTGAACCGAGTGATAGTGACTGAGACTCTAGGAATTCATATTGACCAATTTCTCTCTTGGGATTTTTATATTGAGAAATTGACAAAGAAAATTTCTAGAGGCATTGGAGCGATTTCTAGGCTAAAACCGTTTGTATGCAGAAATACTCTTATTTCTGTCTACAATGCTTTAGTTCAAACATATTTTGATTATTGTTGTGAGGTGTGGGATCCGATTGGCAGTGTTTTATCTGATAAATTGCAGACTCTTCAAAATCGGGCAGCAAGAATAATTATGGGTTACCCAAATGAGCATGGATGCTCAGCAGCTGCTTTGACTGCGCTCGGGTGGAAAACACTTAAGGAACGTCGATTTGAATCTAAAGCCAGACTCATGTATAAGATTATTCATGGTTTTGCACCTACTGCGCTTACTGAAATATTTTCTAGTGCTTCAGTTGTCAGATCTCATGACTACAATTTACGTAATTCTGACATGAAGCTTAATCTTCCTTTTCCTAAAACGGAATATTTAAAAATGAGTATAAGTTTCAATGGTGTTAAATTGTGGAACAATTTACCTATTGAAGTTAGAAACGCAGAAAGCCTAGGAATTTTTAACTCGCTTTTATGTGCAACTAGCCTGTCACGATCTACTAGTTTGGAAATATTTAAATTTGTATATACGTATCTTGTTGTTTATTATGTGTTTCAATTTTTTTTCACCACGCCCCCCTTGGAAATCAATTTGTATTGAAAGGGTTAGCGTGTTTAAATAAAGTTTTACCTACCTACCTACCAATTAGTACCCTCGCCCCGGCATACGCCCGGAACGGCGCTCGGCGCCGTTGGCTCGGGACTATATCATTGTGTTATGGTCTGATCTATTACCTATCCTGGAACTTGCACCATACTTTAGATAGTGTAGCCAGGATTAAGTTATGCCGTTCAATTAGAAGTATATATATATATATATATATATATATATATATATATATATATATATATATATATATATATATATATATATATATATATATATATATATATATATATATATATATATATATATATAAAATAGTTTGTGTAGGGTTATAAAAACCAATGATAGAGTGCTCAATGGATAACCAGAGCATAATAGAAAGACACAAAAACTTAGCAAGCTTTGTTTGACATGTTTATTACTATCATATAAAATAGTTTGTATAGGGTTATAAAATAGTTTGTGTAGTGTTATAAAAACCAATGATAGAGTGCTCAATGGATAACCAGAGCATAATAGAAAGACACAAAAACTTAGCAAGCTTTGTTTGGCATATTTATTTATATATAGTAATAAATATGCCAAACAAAGCTTGCTAAGTTTTTGTGTCTTTCTATATATATATATATATATATATATATATATATATATATATATATATATATATATATATATATATATATATATATATATATATATAAGGTTGTAATAACGTTTCTTAAACGTGTTTGATGTCATCCCAATATAATCTCGAATTACTCCTGTGTTGTCTGTAACCTCGGCTTTATAAACATTACCGGCTTTATAACCTCGGCTTTATAAAGCCGAGGTTACAGACGACACAGGAGTAATTCGAGATTATATTGGGATGACATCAAACACGTTTAAGAAACGTTATTACAACCACAAGACCTCATTCAAAGATACGAGCTATGTTAAATCCACTGAGCTGTCCAAACACATTTGGAACTTGAAAAACAAGAAACGTACATTCAAAATCAAGTGGTCCATTTTGAAGCAAGCATCATCTTATCGCAGCGGCGCAAAAACTTGCAACCTATGCCTCCAAGAGAAACTCGAAATTTTGAAAGGTGATAAGAAAAGATTGCTGAACAGGAGATGTGAGCTATTCTCGAAGTGTTGCCACCGGAAACAATTCTTGGCGGGAAAATTTGAACGTGCGCACGCAATATCATCACGTAAGTAGCCTAACGAACTCGCACGTAATCATACAGGAATTTTTATTGAGATTTAAACATTGTCGCCTGAAGATCGCATTGAGAG